TGCAGATGGAATTAAGGGGCAATTGAGAGGGTAATTTATATGAATATTGGGCCGAGCTGGACAATGGGCCGTTATGGGCCACAATACGAACGGCTGAGTAAAAAGGCCTCAAATCCAATCCGGTCCAAGCAGGACTTAAAGTTAAGATCGGTCCCAGAAGTGCATTGTTATCTCGGTCCGAGAGAGCGCGGCAGTTCGGTCGCTAGGTCACCACCCCAGAGTTAGTCCAGTCGCAGCGTATTACGGTTAGCCTGGTCGTGTCTTCTAAACTGAAGTATGATAAGCCTTCTTCAAGATACTACTGTGTTGGTTCGGTTCGACACTTCTATGGATAGCTCGGTCTGGGCATGCGAAGCCGAGGTAGAAGCAAGGAAAAGAAAAGCCGGACTGAAAGTTGGATCTGTCATACCTACGTATCTAGTAAGGCAATGGTATTTCAGTCCCATAGAAGTCTGACCATAGTAAAACCATCTCACTTGGTTAATGCAGTGAGGGGGTGTTGAAGGATAAGCATTATCTTTCAGGAGTATGAATCCTAGGAGGACTCTACATGGAGGAGTAAAAGTCCTACTAGGATTGTGCCACGCGAAACCTATAAAAGCTTACAACATCACCTAGAGAGAGGTAACACACGCAACTTTGATTCCTGAATACACAGACCTTTTGTCTACTTGTCTATTTTGCTGACTTAGGCATCGGAGGGGTTTCCGGCACACACCCGCCAGTTAGCTCACGTTTGTGTTTTCAGGGAGTAAAGCGACGACGTTTGGAGGAACGTGGACTTGATCAACAAGATTATACGAGAAGGTTTATTTCTTTCTCGTACAGTTTCCATATTTGGTTCTATATATAGATTTTCAGTGTTGTAGGCAAGTGATTGGATTTTGAGATTTTTTGGATGGGATTGATTGACACAGCTGTGAGGAAGCTTATGGGTTTATGGGTTCTATTTGTTGTTGGGTTTGTTAGTAAATGTGTAGATGGGTTTAAGTATTTCAATTTGATAGAACTCCGATTTGAATCTTTCTATGGAGTCTCTGCTTCCAACGGTAATAATCCTCTCATCGGGGGTGTTTGGTGGAGCTTTTTTAAGCCAACTTATGGCTTCTAGCTTTTAAAAAGTTATTTTGGACTGCTTGGTTAAACTTATTTCAAACAGTTTCTGATTCTAACAACTTATTTTAAACCAAAAAAGCTAATTCTGAGAACCTGCTCACCCCTTGCTTCTGATTATCAGCTTCTACTGTGGACATGGTAATTCACGGTTATACTCTTAGATTTTTTTATTTTTTATTTTTTTAAAAATAGAAAAAGACCCAAATGGACTATTAAATATTATTATTATTTTTTATGAAAAATGTAGACAAATAGTGAATAATAAAAAATAAAACTTAATTGAAAAAGCTACTTCACAGCTTATTTAACAAACACTACTCAGCAACTTAAATTTATAATCCAACAGCTATACCAAACAGATTAACAGCTTCTGATTAAAGTCATAATCTATAATCTGTTAAGCTATAATCTATAATCTGTTTTAACAGCTACACCAAACAGCACCATCGTCTGGGATTAGGAATTTGGGAAGTCTGGTTTTATTTTTGAATTGCCCAATGCTCTGTTTCTATGCCTCCATGCTCTCTCTCTCTCTCTCTCTCTCTCTCTCTCTCTCTGAGCGAGTCAAGTGTAGCAACAAACAACAAGCAAACAGTAGAACACAATCACACAGGAGGTCGACCAGGTGGGACATCCGGGTGGATGACGGGTTTATAGTTTTTGGCTCACTTTCCCTGTAGAAAATATAATAAAAAAAAATTTAACGAAGTAACAAATTTAAGAAAATATTAATTTTGAAAAAATTTGCTGAGGCTGATGGAGGGAGAATTTGATGATTTATTAGCTATATTTTAGTTTTTTGTTATTTTGGTGATCCTGATGCGGATGCTCTTAGAGCTTAACTTGGGTTTGCTTATTAAAAACTCATTCGTACTCAATTTATTAGGTAAATAAGTCAATATTAAATACATTTTGTAACTTATTAAAATTTTTAAACAAAAATTGAACTGTTAATTACTCGTTCGGCTCACGATAAATTTAAAACTATATAAAAATACCAAGTTACTTGAGAACGGCTCGATCAAAACTCATTTAAAATTTACTCAAAAACTTAACAAGCTTACAAAAATTGATGAATGCTTTTATAAAAATAAATTTAATTTAATTTAATTTAAAAATCAAATCAAATCAATGAAGAGTGTTTTAAAATTAATAAAAAGTGTATTATATTCTTTATTTTTTATCTTTTTATATTTTTATCAAAATTTTACTTTACTCTCTCCATATTTAATTGCGCCCTGTAAAAATGTGACCAGCAATACACAACTTAATGTAAGTTGTTAATTTGCACAATTGAAATGGAGGAATCAAATAAAATTTGCAATTTACCTAATAAAACCTGTTAAACATATTTGAGTCCTCACTTCTATTCTAATTTCTAATTTCTATTCTAATTTCCAATGGTG